TATATACATATATATATATATATAGTTTATTTAATAAACTTAATTTATTCATTTTCCTATTTATGTTTTTACATTAAGTTGATTTAGTCTGTGGACTAATTAGTTTGGTATATCTGGATTATTCTTTCATATGTTATTTGTCTCATTTTGAAGTTAAAAAAATAAAAGGAAAAAACAAGAAAAATATATATATGTGGATTAAAATGAGGAAAGGCAGGAAGTGCATTTGCTGCAAATGGAATTAGAAGTCTCGATGTAATAATCATTGACATTATCCTATCACGCATGCATCGCAAGATTCTCAGATATCAGTAAAAAGAAAAATGAAATTTCCAGGTTATGTAAACTACAACATCACAATATCAGTCGAAAAATTATCTTGGATTGTATGATTTTTTTTTGTTCATTTTTTCTGTTAAAATATTTTGTTTGCTGAAATGAAATTACTTCACTTCTAATTATATTCATTTTCTGCTTTTCACCAAGTATCAAATCACGTCAAGCAATGTCTAATCGTTTCGGTACGCAGTTATTTGAATCTCTATTGTTTATTACTGTGTGTAAATCAACCTGCATATCTAAAATAAAAATGATCTATGGCACATTAAAGTTACAGAAATTACTAAAATTAGTGCGTTTTGAGATCATCTATTAATAAACGTGCCCATCTAATTTATCAAAAATCCGCCTGTGTTTTGAAATTAGTCGCTCAGTTCAAGCTTCAATTTATTAATAGATAATTTGTACTGCTTGATAACTTGTAATCAACTACTGGCACTTTAATTAATTCAAATAAAATAAAACTGAAGTACAAAAAAGCAAAACATTGTACCGCTATGCCTTTTTGCTACTTAATTTCTTTCCAGGTAAAGGGAGACTAGGACGTCTCACAATGCCTGAACCGGAAAGCCTACCCAATTTAGATCTTGACGATAAATGCATGATGAAGTAAGGTTAATTCTGCGAACATTAAACTATTACCAATTTTTCTCAAAATATTGCTTCATTTGTATTAAATTTCGCGAACTCAGTGAACTACATACACCTTAATTTCAAGTGCTAGATTCAGCATTAGTTAGGGAGCAATGAAATATATGATTTAGCACACACATATTCACTGATTTTGTTAATTCTCTATTAATGTTAACAGTAATAGTGTTGGAGTCATTTTGTATGTCTTTTTCCAGAAGCAAAAAGGCATCTTAATCCATTTCAGAATTTTTCAAAAGTTAACTAGATTTTCAAGAAAACATCATCTCCTTTATGGCGAACAGGTTCTAAAATCAAATAAAAATACTAACTCGCTGAAAGCTATCTCTCTATGACTGGTGGGAAAACTGAGGCGGAGTCGATTCATGAATATGTAAATATATAATATATTTGAACATGGTGCAGTTAATTTTGTTGAAATTATGCCATATATGTATTACCATCTTCAGATTTTCGGAAAATGATGAAGAAGTACAAGTACGAGCTCAAGACCTAGAAAAGATTGGAGAGCTTGGAAGGGGAGCGTATGGAATAGTTGAAAAAATGCGTCATCGACAAACGAATATGATTATGGCAGTTAAAGTTGATTTAAAACAGCATTGAACTAATTATTTGTCGAAAAATTTTCTTATAAAATATGTTACAGTTTCCGAACTAAAATCTGAATTTTTTTGGTACACAAAAGTGTCCTAACTTTACATAAGGACTCTACTAACTTTGTATATTGATAAGGACTTCTGATTTTTGTCAAAAGACTTGAAAATTTTCACTTTTTAGCGCATTCATTCTCAAATAAACGATGAAAGCCGAAAACGAATGCTTGTAGAATTGCAAGCTTGCATGAAAAGTGATTGTTGTCCACAGGTAGTTTTTGTCTTTTGAACACTTTTTAGTTGAAACTTTTCGTGTTCTTTATTAGAATTATTATACTTTTAAGTAATTAATAGATGGTGCGTTTCTATGGTGCCATGTTTCGTGAAGGTGATGTATGGATTTGCATGGAAGTAATGGATACATCGTTGGATAAGTTTTATCGACTGTGTTTCGACTCAGGTCGCCTTTTGCCAGAAATGTTCATCGCTAAATGTGCTCTTTCAGTGAGTTATATAATTGCAGAAATTTGCTCCTAAATAATTTTTTATAACTTAATTGATTCACCTCAGTTTTTATTAAGTACTCGTTTAAAATGTTTGTTTGAAATAGAGTAAAATAAAGTGTTGTTAAGTTTTTCTTGGTTGTTTACATTAGTTTAGATTGTTGTGTTTCAAATGAGAACAGAACCACCAAGTTTGTTTTAGGTTATTGAGGGTCTGAATTTTATGAAAGAGCAGATGAATCTGATACATCGCGATGTAAAACCCTCTAATATACTGTTAAATCAGCATGGAGCTGTGAAAATTTGTGATTTTGGAATTTCTGGTCATCTGACGAATTCTGTACGTAATTCAGTTATGATTATTTGGAAAAGTTATTGCTAGTACTTTTTTATTATCTGCACGTTTTTTACAATCAAATTATGATTTGCATTTGTTTTCATAATCCAGTTCTGTTTTTTTTGAGGAAGATTTTCTGAAATAATTTTCGTTGGATCATATTCAGGTTGCCAAAACAGTAAATGCTGGTTGTAAACCTTACATGCCACCGGAACGTATTGAAGGGGAGAAGAAGGTTGCTTACGATGTTCGAGCTGATGTTTGGAGTTTAGGTATCACACTGGTATGTTTTTCTTTTAGCATATTTACTTTTTGGAGCAACCTCTTTCATCCTTTTTCATGTTCATACTTTTGTTACAAAGGTTTTAATTCAGGTAGAAATAGCCTTAGGATCCCATCCGTATTCTAAGTGGAAGACGCCATTTGAACAACTGAAACAAGTTGTACATGAACCGGCACCAAGATTGACGTGTAATTTGGGATTCACAGATAATTTTCGGGATTTCGTTGCCCAGTGGTATGGATTTTTGTAATTTTGATTTCTTTTACTAAAGTTAATTTGGTATTTTATTTACTAACGTAAAACAAAATGTTTTCTAAGTCTGCGCAATCAGTGATGCTGTCTTATATATTTTTGTTGTAGCTTAACGAAAGATTACAACAAGAGGCCTAAATATCCGGATTTGTTGGCCCATAGGTTTCTGGATGATGCACGTAATGATCGTGAATTTTCTATGGGAGCTTTTATAAAGCAAATTTTGGACTTGGTGGAACGTGAACGTAATGCAGCACTTGCGAATTTAATTGAGACATCCGTTCCTGGATGTGTCAGTTAATTGGTAAAACAAAATTGATTACCTGGTATATAGAATATAGTTTCTTGTAAGAACAATAGCTGTATTTTAGACATGTTTTTATCGACTTAGCTTTCTTAAAAATTTAGTAGGAATATTTTATCTTTGGTTTTCATTGTTTTTATTCTTATTCTCATGGTCATCTTTAATTCTTTCAGTAATATTTTGTTGCAGTCAAAAAGTTCATTAAAGCTTTCGATTCTATTTCATTAACCAAATTCTGTAATTTCTTACATATTTCTTACGGTTCTTGCAAATTCTGCATTTGTTGTAAATTTTCTTACATGTTAATAGTGATAGCAATACTCATTGTTCAAAGTTTAAATTATTTTTTGAAACTGTAATACTTCAGTTATTTCATTTTTGAAATAGTTCGAAAACAAGGGAATAAGCAAATTATTTAACGATGTACCTGCTATAGCCCTTATTAGTCAAGTTTAGCTTTTCGTGAAATTGATTTTACTGAAGTAATGGAATATTAAAACTTTCATATTCTGCATTTTTATTATTAACATTACAATCCTTCGTAGTTGTATGAAAATATTCGTCTTGGATTTATGAAATTGTATAAAATTATTCACCCAAATATGATGTATGATTAGAGAGATCCAAAAACTAATAGTAAAAATTGTTATGTTAATACATATTTACTAAATTCCTAGTCTTGTTTTATCATTTATGTCGAATGATTTCAGTTTTCTGAATTGTTAATAATGATTATGTTAAATTCGAAACATCTGCCTTGATACATTGTAACTTTGGTTGATAACTAATGATGTTGTATGTACTTCACTTTAACATTGTATGTTTAAATTATTAATTATACTATGCTTTTACATCACCATATAGCCATCCTTTAATTGAATCAAATGAAATAATTATGTTTGTGTTAGCTTTATCATTATTATTGAGTTCAGTATGCTGTAGTTTCTTACTGAATATAAATCTGAATTTACCTGCCTGTAGTATGAGCAACTTGTATACTTCTCCATTGTGATGTCCATTTTCAAATGCTCACTTGATTACTTTCATTGTGTTATTTGACGTGTCTTTCATACTACGCATATTGTAATTATTGTATTCCATCCTGTGATGAACACCATTTGATTTAAACTATTTATCTGTATGAATGACAGTTCATTTTCGATGTAATATCTAACTTTCACATTTATTCGCTGTTTTTATTTCAGTCACATAATAAACATAATACATTGAAGTCTTTTAATTTGTACTGTTGATAAAATTCATCGAAACCACTGTCCAATAATTCCTCGTAAGACCATAAGAGTATTGTAGTGTGCAATCAATGTACACGTTGGTTAGTTTGAGCCAAGTGCTTCGGATTTATGAATATTTTATTTCACTAAATAGAGTTGATTAAATCCTGATTATTGGTGTAGAATGAAGTCTTCTGATATTAATAGTATTGAGACAAGATGCAACTAAAATGAGTAGTTATGGGTTCATTATTTTAGTAACAAGTAATTTTTATTTGCATTATTTTACTGAGCTTTTGAAGTGTGAATTGCACAAACAAGTATCTGTCAATAAATTAGTATTGATTAGTTTTGGAGTGTTGAATGCTCGTAATTGGTATTGATGGTTGTAGTGAGGTGAAGATGAGTTGAGAAAAGATGATAACAGTGTTTCTTTACACAACTGCAATTTATTTTCCACGGATATAAAGAATGACATATCTAATAGCAGCACTTAAATTTCCAACAATTTTCTTTTCCACTCTTTCATTCTTTTTTTTGTCCAAATCACTGATCATGAGAGAATTTGCAAAATTTTTGTGCTTTCTCGTGAAATCACTCGTATTTTTACTATTTCTAAGATGCAAGGAAAGATTAGCAGAGAGAAGAAATTTTTTTCACATGAGCAAAGAAAGTATTCTTGTTTAGATAAAACTTCTATTCTACAATTATGCATTGTGAAGCATATTTGAGAAAGTGAACTTACATTCAAAAATTTGCTAGTATAGTTTAAAAATTTTTCTGTGAAGTAAAATTGTATTCATGAATGCATCATAGTATGAATAAATTAGTACCAATCTCACTCTTTATCCAGAGATGAAACAAATCTAAATGTTGTGGGTGACAAACAAATTTTTCTTAGTCCAACTCCAACAACATCACTAACCTGAAATGACTAAGTAAGCATAAAGTCAGTTGGCTGTAATAAATTATAAATTACATATATTATATATTCACATTGGCTTTATTCTTTCATTTTAATTTTAATTCAAAATCAGATTATATTTTTCTGTTAAGGAGCTGAAAATTGAAAGACCTAGTAGGTAAATATAGATATATTTGGTTAAATAAAACTCAAGGCCACGTCCTAGCTACTACTCTTCTTGCAATGAAAGTATTTTCAGTAAACAGTCACATAAAGCAATCTTTTTGCAAATTTTTAAAATTTCATGTCGGTATCAATATTTATAAACTTTAGCAGCATTGATTTTATCAACTAGCCATTACTCTATTAATTTTTTAATTCAATATCTTTGCAAGAGATAACTTCATCCTAATAATTATCAAACCTAAGAACGATTTTTCTTTCAGTTCATTATTTGTTCACAATTAATGACTGAGAAAAAGAATCAAACTGATGTAATGTAAATAAATCTGGTTTTCATTTCTCTACACTATTTCATCAAGATGACTGCATCATTACTTCTTACGAAAAGCTGAAGACTAATTTTATAGCAGAGTCCTATGCGTATTGATATCGTAATGTGTCAAGTAGTGGATGTTGCATGAAATTGAAAAATTATATTCAAAGCAATCAATCATAATGGCACACACTTCATTTATTTCAGTGTCAAAATCAATCTTGCAAGAAAGTATTCAAGTTTTCAGTAGATGATGCCCTTGGATAGGTAATTTGATATAGTTTTCTGTCAATTTTCAAGCACTCTTTGTGAACGGAAATGGATAATTTTCTCTTTACAGTTCATCAACATTTTGGTTTTGAAATTTAATTCTCAAAAATTATCAAATTTCCTACCAATGTTTCTACACTTTGCAAAATCTGGCAAAGAAAAAGTTGGGTAGTAGTTGAGTATAATCTTCATTAACGCCCATCCATTTTTTTTTTCCTTTCAGTCAAAGTTTTTTTCATTTCTAAAATCCTTTTTGAGAATACTCATTAGAAGAAGCGATTAGATATAATGAAGACTCATTAGAAGAAGCGATTAGATATAATGTAAACTTAAAGAGTCAAAAGGTCGGAATCCTTTGGTATGTGCTATACAGACATATAAAGTGAAACGATCTATTAATCCAATATATTTTACAAGATTACAATTAATATTTTTTACAATCACGAAAAAGATGTGATTAAAAAGAAAGAGGAATTCGAAAACAAGTTTTTTTTTAATTAAAAATTTTTGTCGACTGTTTGGTCTTTCTTTTCATCTTTCTTCTTCCACTTAATGACTCAAAAATGGTTTTCAGAATAACTCTTTTTCAACTCATTTTTAAGCTAGCTTGAAAATAAAATTACGACTGGATAAAACCTATAACCATCTTTCAGCTTTTTTCTAAGAAGTGTGAGTGAAGATATCAATAGAAGATTAAATTATCCATTTCTTTTTCTAATCCACTAAGATTAAATTACTCATCACTTTTTTTTACAACATTGAATCATTCTGTTATTTGGATTGATCCTCAGTTACATATTTTACCTTTTATACTCATGATTTGTTCCCAGTTCACTGCAAATTTATAGAGTAATAGTAAATGATTTTATGGAGTAATAATGATTTGGAATCAGTGGTAAGAAAGCTTTATTAGGATTTACATATTGCAAAAACATTTTTTTTATTTTTTTTAGGAATAAACAATGCTGAAAATTTTCGTTGCAATGATGTCAAAATGGTATGTTAGTAACTTTATGAATTAAATTTGTCCTGGCTATTTACATCATAAAAATATTCACTCGCAGATCTTCTACAGCTAAATTGAATAACATTTTTAAGCTAGATTACCAGTAATATTTAAGCTATAAATATAAGTTACTGATTTTGCATCATGAATCAATTTCAATATTGTAAGGGAAGAGAAAGTCACAGCAGTCACAGTAGTGACTTTCTTTTCTCACATAATTACCGAAACCACCCCCTCAATGGACATCTATTCCAAGTTCAGAGTACTGTTCGTTTCACGTGTGGTACTGACATTTATGCAGTCATTATTTATGCTATTCCGATGTTTCTACAATTCGTCCAATTCCATCATCTCAGGATTCAACATTAAATAAATATAGTAATATAATGAAAATACATAATAAACTTAGTTACCACACCAAATTTACTGCTAGAACTATACTAAAATTCAATTTCAGAATCATGCTACTAATTTTGCTGTCATCATAGCTACCACTAATTTTACTGACGGTATACTATTATTAATGAATCTCATTTTGAAATGTAAGTAATATTCCAACCACAGCATTTCATTTTCAGTTTATTCATGGATAGAGCCTAAATATATTCATAATCTTCCTATGCATTTGCACATAGTCTTCCATTTACATTGAATTTCCTATTATGAAAATTTAATGTATTTCAAGGCTAGATTCTCTCATAGAAAACATCTGTCTCCTAAAGACAATTGTGCTTTTTGTCAAGCTGTTTTTCATCTCCTGTAAAAACTGATGTTAAAATGATTTTTTTCTACATCGATCTCCTGCTGTTTGGTATCCAAATTTCCCTTACATTTTTATAGCACCAGACGCTATTTATTGTACACCAAATATTTTTTAAATGAAGCTGAAAATTCCTGAACACTGTTTTAGCTCTTCCTTTTTAGGAGCATTTTTCCTACCTTGTTTATAATTGTAAAAGAATGACATCGAAAGAGACTTCATCTTTCATATTAACTTTTTTATTCTACCAATTCTTTATGTTTTGGCAATTTTTTTTCTAACTTCAATTTCCATTTGCTTAAATGAACAGTGACCGATACTATTGCTTC